AATAGGTTTCCGTATTACCCATAAGGTACTATTGTTGATGTATGCGTTTTTTTTAGTGATTTTTCCAGTAGACCTATTCTATTAAAAAATAAGAAATCAAATATATGGCTTAGCAGAAAAATAAAATTCTATATTGTAAAATATGATATATAAAAAATAAGAAAAACAAAAGAAAGAACAATTATAAAAATATTAATTTGATTTTTTGAATCGTTCGTCGAATCGTTTACACGATTCTATTAGAGATGATATATCCATAAAAATTTTAAAAGAATTAGTTTGCATCAACGAGAATAATGATGCACAAGAAAAGAAAAATATTCTTTGAATGATATTACATTACTATTTCTGCTGATGCAAACTAGTGCTTCCAAAATTTCTATTGATATATCATTTCAACTAAAATCATGCATACAACGTAGAAAATAAAATTAATTTTCCATCTAACATCTAGACAAAAGTTATACCGGTCACGCTCTTATTTTTCATTCCTTGTCATCAAGTCATATATTTGATTCTTTTTAATAAAATAGGAAACTATTAAATAAAAAACTATTAAATAAGGAAATTATTAAGGAAATTAAATCATATAACATGTTTGCCATCAACAGAACCCAGATAATTTGAAATGTTCAACTTCTTTCAATATCCATATGTACATTTTTTCCAATCTTCTTCTGTAGGTATAGAAAGATATATTGAGTTTAAAACTTTAATTAAAACAAGACAAACTTCTTCTTTTATCACTTCTCTTGCTGTGGCTTCACTAACTCTAAACGCCAAAGCTATACTAAATGATCGGTCACCTGTAGCAAGATATCTGAAAAAATATTACAATAATTATAATATATTTATATTAACTATATAGTATGAATTAGTTACTAGGCATCTAAATATGAAATATGTTATAATTATATCAATACCTTAAAGTTATTAAAAGTAGTTTTGGGTTTAAAGCACGAGAACTTTTTTTTGTTAAATAGGGTTGTTATTTTGTTATTTGTACTAGTTGCTGAAAATGTATCAAAGTCATTCTGGTATAACGATAAAATAATTTAGAATCACTTTTTATTTCTCGAAATAAATTATTATAATCTCTATTTTGATCTCTCATTCTATTAATAGGCCTCACAAGCCATTGTCTATTTAATTACCTAGTTTGTTTTCTTTTATATATTAGCAGATCGAACGTATAAATTTATCCAGTATATTATCAAAATTAAAAATTCATCTTCATTTTTCATTTTCATTAAAATATTGCAAGTTATGTACAAAGGTACATTAAAAAAATAACATAAGATGTAATCATATAAGATTTATTATTTTTGTTTCATTAAATGTAAATAAATCATTTAGTTTATAACATGCTTTATACTTCGTGTCATCATAATTTTAAATATATTTCTTTAAAAATATTTTTTATCTATGTGTTCTATTTAAAATAGAAGATCATAAAAAAATATTGTATTCGCAAAGACCTGAGAAACGTCTTTATTTCAAA